TAAGAAATTTTACCACAAATGTGGAATATGAATCAATATACGGCATACAGCAAAGAACCATGCAAATACAGGTTAAACGTAACATTAAAAAGGAAAACCAGATTTAGGCGGTCAACAACATGCAGAAATCCTATGGCTTGAGTTTTGGTTTTGTGTGTCATTGGGATTTCTGTTGGGAGCTCATCAATACTGCTATTGGGGACAATTTTTTGCATGTAATGAGCTAATTAGAAGTTACTTGGCTGGTTGACTTCTTTTTTCACCTTACCTTTCTGAACTACTGAAAACACCTTTTAGGAAGAAAACTAGGTTTGTGTAGATGTTGAAGAAAGGAAACGATACTGTGAGGGCTTTGCATCAGTTTTGTCCTCATACTGCTTTTGACTCCTGATGGCTCTTCTGTTCGTAACCTTCTTTGCCTCCTTTGTGCCTCCTGCATGCAACCCCTGTAAATACTTCTTCAAAACAATCATTAGTAAGGAGAGAAACAGCTTTCTCTCAAGGTGAGCTCTTTTCAAAGAATAGCTTTTTTTTTTTTTTTTAATTAATAACTCCTCTGAAAATGCTTTCATCACAGCGCTGTGATTGACTCGATGTTGTTTCCTCCCCCAGGTGCGCTGAAGGACCACCCGCAGCAGCAGCCAGGCATGCTTTCCCGTGTGACTGGTGGCATCTTCAGTGTCACGAAGGGAGCTGTTGGTGCCACGATTGGGGGCGTTGCTTGGATTGGAGGGAAGAGCTTGGAAATTACCAAAACAGCGGTCACGTCTGTGCCTTCGATGGGAGTAGGGCTAGTCAAAGGGAGCGTTTCTGCCGTGGCTGGAGGTGTTACGGCTGTAGGATCTGCTGTTGCAAGTAAAGTGCCTTTAACGGGAAAGAAAAAGGATAAGTCTGACTAAAGCCAGAACTGAGAGACATACTTGATTCTCCAGAATATTACATCGGCAGCGTTAAAATCTGCTGAGATTTGGACCATGAGAAGCCATGCGTCTTAGACACTCCATCTTCTACAGAGCTGTGCAAGTAACTTAATTTCATCTGACAAGGACAGAAGCAGCTTGGGTAGCACAGTGTCTGAAGATTTGTTAGAGCCTAGATTCAAGCTTTGTATCTGGTGAAATGTTAACACTTGGTAACTATAGAAGTGAGTACGTGTATCTGAAGGGATTATACATATTTGAATATTCACTTACTGTAAGTCTTGCAGTTTTGGACTAAAATGTGAACATAGAAACTTACCTTGGTGATGTCTGCCGGACCATCTGTTTGATGAGGTGCCAGTTTACTGTCCTCAGTGGCATCCACATCCTCCTGCTAAGGATCCTTGAGCTGTGTAATGGCATTATTGGATGTGCCTAAATAGTTACAAAACTGTGTCTGTAGGAAGCCTGGAAACTATCAATGCGTTCTGCCAGAGCGAACTGGCAGCAAACAGAACTGGAGGTGTGCAGAAATTAGAAACGAGTGGGAGATAAGAGGTGACAAAGTTTGTAACATGGTAGAAGGGATCATAAAAACTAACTTAATGCCTTATTCGAAAAAAACAAAAAAAAGTCTCTTTACTAGGTGAAGCTGTGTCAGCTGTGTCCTGTTGTTTCTGTACAGTTCACAGAACAAGCTTTAGAGACTCTGACTCCTAGTATCTGAAACTTTTAGTCAGTTTTTACTGAATACAAGATTCAAAATCTCAGGTGTATTTAATGATATGCATCCATTTCCTGCAAGTGCAAACTTGCTTCTGATCAACTTCTTAGAGACACTAGAAAAAATGAGGGCTTCATGGAAACTGGGCAGGTGTTTGTGGTCATCTAGCACAACTCTATAACTTGAAAGCAATTACTTGGTGTAGCTGGGAACCACTGAAGAACTAGTGAAACTGTTTCAGCTCCGTGGTGTGCCAGGTTAGTTCCTTGCTCTGTTTAAACAAATGCAAGAATTTTTCACTACATCTTTATCTCACACTTTGCATTTTGATTTTGAGGAAATGCAATATTTTTATTTAAAAAGAAACCAAAAACAGGCATATGAGGCCTTAAAAAAAAAAAAAATTATATATATCATCCAAGTAAACTGTATATTGACAGATTCCAAACTTTGACACACCTCAAACGAGAACATCTGTAGGTCCTCTGCAGTATGTGAGGCAAAATGCACTCCTAAGACACAGCTTGAGGTTGCCTTAAAGTAGAAACTGTTGGTAATTTTTGTTTTTTGTTTTTTGTGTTTTTTTTCCCCACGTGCTGACTTTGCAAATAAGTAACTTCTTTGGAAGCCCGTAATAGAAGGCTGTGAACATTGTGTATGCAGTATTTTCTTAAACTCGTGTTCCTACAAAAAAAACACACTTCTAAGCATGTAAAAGCTTACTTTTTCAGTGGCTATGGCTGTACAAGAAGGATATATAGGGAGACCTTTTAGAAATTAAAAGAAAATCAAAATACATCACGTGTCTAAAACTCGCTCCTATATTTATGGGTGTTGAAAGTAAACTGCAAATTATGGTGCAGTAGGTAGCCCAGTCTCTCTGAGCCATTGGTACTTCAGCTGCAGTCTGGAACAACTTTATTTGGTGTCATTGATTGCTGGTTATGTTGGTGGCATGGTATTACCACACATAATGACATGGGGAGGTGGGGACAGCAAACCCAGCAGGTAGAATTCTCTGTTCCTGTTGTTAGTTGCACCAGCTGCTTAGCTCCAATCTGCTGGAAGCGTGTATGGAGGTAAGTCTATGCAATAAATGCAATATTTAACTATTTTTATACTCAAAAGCTAGCAGTGCAGCGCCCAGTTTGGTTTAAAGATCCCAGTTAGCTACAGAAACGAGCTGGCTTGGCCACAAGAAGCAATCGAACTGCAGCAAGAGATTTAATGTGGTCTGCTCCCCCTGGTTTCTGATGCAGACGTACCCCAGAGTGCTACCAGTGAGCTCCATGAGCCAGCTGTTTGGGACCACAGTGGGATTTGTGACACTCTACCAAACCCTTCCCAATCATTTTCTGAGGACACAAATGTAGAACTGGTCATACCCCTTTTTTTTTTTTATGGCATTCTTTAACTTTTATGCTATGAAAGTTGCTGCAAAATGAGCATGGTCTGAGATGAGCAATGTTAGAGCTGTAAAAAGCTGCCAGCACTTCATTATGTTTTGTTCTTAGCATATCCTGTAGTTATTACTTCTGAATCTTGTAAGTGAAATGCTTTAACGTGGCACATGCTTTGAGTTTTGGAAAAGAGCTTTGTCCTATATTCTGCGTATTTCCCACTTGTTTATGAAAGTCACCTCCTAAAGAACTTGTTCTGATTCTGTCCTGGCACTTGTGAAACATTAAATTCTTGCTGTTTCAGACTTTTTGAAAGCTTCCTTAGTTACTTTGTGGAGAAAGGCAGATCAGTAAAGGCTTAGGTGTGACTCTCCATGCTGTATCATGGCCTAGGGAACCCAGATCTAAATAGCACCGAGCAGCTCTTGGCAAAAACCTCACGTTGTTGTGAGGTTTCTGTGGTGTCTGTGCAGACACAACGCAAAATCCTCTTCACTGCTTGTTTTTTTTTTCTCTTGGGAACTAAGGGTTGGGGAGACCCAATTTTAAGATGATAGGAAGTAGAATGGAATGTGGAACCTTATTTAAAAATAATAATTAAAAAAAAATAAAAAACTTATTTTCCTAGCCCCCCATTTCAAAAGGGGAAATGTTTATGAAGACTACTTGTATGCCTGACTGCTCATTCTATAGCGAAAGGCTGGGCTGTGGGCTTCTATGTGCAAATATTAAACGGTATAAACATATTCACTGTAACAGCCAGAGATTAGGAAGAGGATTTCAGTGCTGTGGTAGTCTCTAAGAAAATGTTTTGGTAACTGGGACTTACCAGAGGCTTCATTATAAATGCATCTGGGAAGAGGCAAAGGGTTATGAATGAAGGATTGAATGAATTTGGGTCTGCTGATATGGAAAAAAGAGTCCTTCTCTTCCTGCTTTCGTTTTGAAAGGGGAAGGGCAGGGGAATTAAACCATTTGGAAGGGAGAATGAGTTTGGGATAACTCAGGCTGTGGCTCTGTTAAGGAAATATGTCACTTTCCTGTTTTCTCCACTGCCACTGGAAGTACTTGAAGTGATGGGAATAAGCTGTAGCAGGAATTTTAAAAAACAGATACCTGTAGAAACGCTGAGACTTGTTTTTATGGAAAACGTTCTCTTATGTCTTGTCCTCCTTCTTGTCCCTAAATCACCGATCATTTCTGGGGTTCATCATTACAGTAGATTGCATTACGAGTGCCTTCAGAGAGCTGAAATGCCCCCTTGTGTCTGCGGGGAAGGAAGCTTTCGGCTTCAAATACTGTGCTCTTTGTCCTTCGGTGCTCAGCTTTTGCAGTCCTAACGTGACAAAGGCAGTGACCATGATTTTAATACGGCAGCCCTCCCAGCTTCCTCTTATAAAACGATCCTTATAAAAGGAGCTTGTAAAACTCTTTTGGAAGAGTCAGCAGAGAGGTGGCTCATCCAGCCAGATGTTTCCAGCCCTCCCCGAGCTCGTGGCCGTATGAAATCCTCGTCTTGTGCAGCCCACCCTCCGAATACGTAACTCAATACCCGCTTTCCTCTGCAATTCAAAACTCCTCTTCGAGAAGGGAACACCCCTGGCCACGCTGCCAAAACGCCTGCTGAAAAATGACCTTGGGCAATGGCCCAGGGGGGTGTGTGCCTGATTTATGCCCTGCTGTCAGGGGGGAGCGGGTATGGAATAGCTGCTTAGGGCAGCTTGTGGTGTGTTTTGGTGGTGGTGGTGGTTTTTTTTGAGACTTAAAATCACTCATCCTAATTCTACCGAGAGGATCTTTAATGGGGCTACGCTTTCATACTATTATCCACAGACCACACATGAAAAGATATAAAAATTCCCCAAGAACTTAAATGCTGTCGGAGAGGTACTATTTTAAAAGCCAGCACTCGTCAACAATTATCATCCAGTGATATCTGAGAAGTTGTCGCCCATATATTTAGAAACTGCGGCAGCTGTTTGCAGAGCTGATGGTCATTTTTAATCACCAGTGGTTTACAGGCTGGAGTTTCGTTACACCCATGTAACAGTGGGGCTTCTTCCTTTCCCCAAGCATTTGGGGCCCATCTGAGTCTCTCCCTAACCCCTACCCCAGGCTGGAGTGTGTGGTGATGGCACTAAAAAGCCAAAGATGCTCGTGGCCAGTTAGATGAGGAAACGCAACAGAACCAAAAAGCCATGAGATGCTCCCTGGGGGATAAATGAGTCTTTATGTACGTGATGAATCAACCTTTCCCACAGCCAGCTTCTACGATACTACCTGGAAGTATTAGAAGGCTACAATTGTACAATGAAGTTGTGCATGTAAAACCCACACCTGGACAAAGCACAGCTACGACTACAGTCTGGTGAAGATGACTTTTGTTTCAGCTCTTATCAGAGAACCCAGACCTCTTTAATCATTTTCTTCTGCATAACTTAAAATACAGCATTCAAATTAGTCTTGAGTGTTTAGAGGAGCAACAGGATTAAACATTGGTCTCTCCTTCTTTGACTGTATCTTGCCGTAATTGACTTCAAAATCTTTCTTAGTGCCGTTTAAGCTTTCTAGGCTTCCGCTCTTTACATTATATCCCAAAGCAGAGAGTTTTTTAATTCTGTACTGGACAATTTGCGTTGTCAGCTCCAGCACCATTGGTGTCTCTCTAATCTGCGCGATAGAAATTCCTTCCTTCAGCAGTCCTCCGAGTCTTTCTTCCAGAATTGGAACAGAATAGTAGAGAAGGGCCGGGCATTTCAGCACTAGTTCTTTTAATTCTTGATCACTGCACTTAAAGACGTTTTTGGAAAAAAGCATGCTCTTCTGCATAGTGGTCGGAGTAAGCTGAAAAATAAAACCTTTAAGTTTAGACAGCAGCTGTAGTACTTCTTGGTCACTGAAATCACTCTTCTGGAGAAATTCCAAGTTCTCTTGGATTGCAGTGGAGGTATTTAATAAAATAAATGGATTCTGGCTCAGTAACTTCAGTATCCAGACCTTCATGTTGGCATCAGAACCTCCTAAACTTAGATAATTTCTCTGTAACGTCTCTATCACTTTTTTATTTTTTTCAACAGGACTGCAGAAAATATTGGGTGCGCTTGTTAAGAACCGGGTGATTATATTATTCTTAAGTCCTAGCTCTTGAAAGAACAGAATGTTTGCTTTCTGGTTCTCGTGATACCCAGTAGTGAAAAAAGACTCTGGAAACTGCTCTATTAATTTAATCAACTGTTTTTCATTCTGGCACACTAATTGCCATAGAGCTCTCTGAGCGTTTATCTCTGCAGGACTACGGAGAATTGCCTCTGGGCAACGTTCTAAAATATTGGCTACGGCGGGCTCATCTGCTCCCATTTCTTGTAAGATGCCAGCAACTTCCTGAACGTAGGCCACCTCCTGGAGAAGGACCCACTCCTTCAGCCTGCGTATTTTCTTAACGTCAACCGACAACCTGTAGAGACTCTCAATGGTCTTCTTATTTTCCTCTCTCGATTTCGTATCGGTTGTATACGTGGAATGTGTTAAGAAGCTTCTGTTTGGTGCTTCAGTCCGTGAGGACAAAACCTTCAGTCCGGGGTTACAGTACTGAGACCTCGCCAGCAGGAGTGTGAATGTATCTCTTGCACCACGAGTGACTCCTCTCAACATTGTGGAATGCAGCCCTGTGCAGAGAGAGAAACAATTCTTTGAAAACACATTTAAGGCACAAATTATACCTCATAATGTTCTTGGAGTCATTGATATTTAGACTGAGCTGGCATAAAATCACTCTCAACGGTATCTTTTGTTATTCACACAAAACTCAGCGTTCATGCTATAAGGAAGTGGGGGGAAAAAAGACTTCTGAAAGGTTAATGTTCTGACTGATGCCTCACTGGAACAATAACTTGCAGATGCAACAGACCTGATACGGGGGCAGCGCTCCGTCCATGTAAATGCTTGCCTGCTTGTCACACCAGAACCAAACTGTCAGCCACTTCCTGCAGCTGACGGTGTCATTACGTTACAGCTCACTCGTACTGCATTAGAAGAATGTTTTATGCAATTTAATTTGACAGTAATTCCACTAAATGAATAGTAATAAGAAAAAACAGCTTAAACGCCTTTCTTAGCTCGTCTGAATGTATTTGCTTAACTGCTCAGGCATTGTTTTGAGCATGATTTGTTCCTCCGTGTGTCAGAGACCTCCCTGGTGCTCCTTCAGCAGCAGTTCACAGCATAGCTGCTTTATAAAATCATTCTCCTTGCAATTAAGGCAAAAAAAAATCATCAAAACCATTTGTGTATGTATGTTTCTCACTAGCTGAGTCTGTTAATTGGGGCTGAATAATCAAACTGGTATTTTGGGGGAGGAAGCAAGTACAGTGCATCATCTTCAGGCCTTCCCTTGCCTCTTCCAGTCCCTACTTTGCTACAGCTGCCCGCCGCACGGATACCTTTCTGTCTTCAGGTAATTTCTGTCACTGCCACTGTGTAGCTGAGCTGGGGTCCAAACACCCAGAATGGGGTAGCTGTGGAGAACCTGATCCCCCAGCTCCGCTCGGTCTGAATGCCAGGTGCCACGAATAGCACGTGCAGTGCCACCTGCTCCGCGACGGCCAGAGGAGCTGCTGCAGCAGTCACGCAGAGATGTCATCAAGCGTATCTTTAACTTCCTAGGTGGCGGTTTTGTAACAACCTTCTGGAAGCACCATGTGGAAGCGAGAACTGCTGGTCTCTGAAATGCTTGCGCTGCTTAAAACCACTCTAAGTTAAAAAAAAAAATAAATGAGCAGAGATACAATTACTTTGTGCGTTTGGCAATCCTATTTATATAGCTGCTTTCTCCCACAGCACAGTGTGCTTCAAAAAGTACCCACGTGAGCATTAAGTAAGACTTATTTTTTTAAGAGAGGAAAGACTGTTATCATCATCCACTCTAAACTCTTGCATAACATATGGTAAGAAGCCTGTTGCAGGAACAGCTCTATGAGACCCCTAGAACCTCATTTATAGCTCGTCTTTCAAGAAAAATACGTGGTTTGTTTCGAGAACCTAAGCGGTAGAGCCTCCACCGAGTTCCCAAGTAGCGTTAAATATTTTCCAGCAGTAAAATACTTTTTCTCAAGAAAATGTATTTGCTTTTAAGTTGATGATTTTCAGTTTCTAAATCCAGATTCTTATTATGTTACAGCATCGTACACTAACAGATTAAGACTTACAAAAATAATTTACTACGTGCAAGCTTACATTAATAACAAAATGCTGTGGTTTTTTGCTTTTGTAGCTTGGTTTTTAGTGTTGTTTCAAACCTCTGAGGCAAAATCTGATGGTCCAATGAAGCATTATGTGCCGTAACTGCAGTGCTAATAATTTTATCTTCGTAAACTTGGTGACTGGAGAAGTGCTGTCCAGTGAGCTCTAGCACTGAACAAGTGATTTTCACAAGTAGCTGTGTAAGGGCTCTGAGTGGAGGTAAGCTGCAAACTTTTCCTGTGCTGTTTTTTGTATCCTGAAAAAGTGGCTGCTTCACAGGGACTGAAAACCAAAGCCTCTCCTCCATAGGAAGAGGCACACCTGCCTGTGCTTGTGAATTGTGAGTAGGTCTACGGAATTCAATGGGTCCAGCCAAATCAGACCCTGAAGGATCAGGACTTTCTTCATTGCTTCAGCTCAACTGGAAACTGCCAGCGAAATACAGTATTGTTAAAATTGTTGGGGGTGTCAGATGATGCTTCCAAAGTACAAACTGGAAGAGTAACAATGATTTTTATTTCAATGTGTAATCCCGCTATTAAATAAAATTGCCTTGTGAGTAATGCAGTCGCTTAAAATACAGTCATTTTACCAATTAGTTACAGAGCTCTTTAAAAAAAACAAGGCCAAAATCTGACATAGTAAATTGTGCTTTTCTAAAACCTGACATGGAAATTATTAACTTTGCTTAAAAGAAGCTTTATATTGTCTGAAACTGTTTGACATCACAGTCTTTTTTTTTCTTGGTGCTAGCGAGGATCTTCCACGCACAAACACTGAATATGGTAAAAGGAAGAAAACGTTATTTGCTAAACAACCTTTGACCGGGATACTCAGAAACCCTTCTAAAACATCAAGCAAATTATCGCATATTAAAACAAGATGAATGGATTTTAATGTTATGGTGTACTACAGGAACAGAGAAGATGCTTAGGAGTTATGATTCAGTGTCTAAAATGCATTTCAGAGACTGTAAATGATAATATCACATTTCCTGGCTATTTAACCTGCTCCAAGAGTTCAGAGTTCTCTCAAAGCTCATGCTGACTGCTGTTCCTGTTGAATGCAGGAACCTGTTGCAACATTTTAGATACTGATATTGCTGTGGGGATTGCAAATCATTTGATTTAAAAAAACAAACAAACAAAAAAAAAACCAGCCCAGATCAGTGGTTGCTCTCACTGCCAGCAGCACCCCCTTATCAGCAGGTGTCACCTCAGCAGTGAGGAAGTGAACAAATGTGTGCCTGGAAGTTATCACCAGTCCCACTGGCAGCAAACTGTACCCACAGAGTGAAGCAGTACTGTGATTTTCGTTATTTAGTGGGACTCATGCATGTATCTTCTTCTATAGGAAAGGTCTACTTCGAATCAGCTGGGTAATTTACCATTCATTTCACTCAGAAATGTGGGTATATTTTTAAAGAAAAAAACTCTTGTCCATGCTGTATTTTTTCACAATTTTTTTCCACTAAGGGCACAGTGTAACTACTCCTGCATGCTGGTCAGTACCCTGCTCCTTACAGCAAACCGCAGCCAGATTTTAGTAGGTTTGTTGTAAGAAACCACTACATGCTTAGCTTGCCCTTTGCCTTGAGCAGGAAGAATCAGTATCTACCTAGAGGAGCGCAGCGCAGGCTGGATTTGAGCAGCTCGTGAAGAAGGCTGGTTCAGCAGCAGGTAGAGAAACGCTCTGTAGAAGCGGCTCTATTTCATTTTCCACACCTGCTGACAGAAGGAAAGGTTACAAAACCACGCGAGCCCAAGGCCGAGCTTTCCAAAACAGCTACAGAAGAAGCGAGGCGGCCCCGGCAGCTCCACGCAGGGGGCTCCCCCACACGGCTCCATGCCCGCAGCGAGCTCCCCACACACGCAACCCCCTTCCCCGGCCTCACCACGGCCCCACACGGCCGGCAGGGCCCCGGCCCCGCCGCTCATCGCCTCACCGGCCTCCCTCCGCCTCTCTCCGGGCCCTGCCGCCGGGCGGGGCGAGCCGCAGCCGGGGCCGGGCGTACCCGGCAGCCCCGCCGCCATGGCGGCCGCCTCCACAGCCCCGGGGACCCCCCGCGCGGCCCCCGCCGCCATTTCAGGGCCGCGGGGGGGTCCCTGGCATGGAGAATCGCCTCAGGTTAAAATTGGCTTCGTTAGGGTTAGGGGTGTTTAGAGGGGAAGCGCTAGGAAGCGTCTGCATTTGAACAGCTTTCAAGAGAGAATGAGTACAGTAAACGTGGAAAAAAAATCAAATTCCTTTGAAAATTTGATCGTTTTGGAGTGTTACTACGGTGTCAAAGCAATCAACGTTTGAAATGTAGGATACTTGAGTGCCTGTGCTCTGATGGGAAGCAAGTGATCCTATTGACTGGCACCCTGCACAGTTAGCATACGCATACACCATGCAGGAATCGGCCCTCCTGCTTCCCATAGCGAGGTGTTAATCTCCGCTATTCCACCTATTAGAGGAATTCTATTAGTATTTGTTTATTAGATTTATTACTCTGCTATTCTGTTAGCCTGCTCATAGTCTAAGGACTACTTTACTTTTAGTTTTTCTACTCTTTTTGAAAGCAGCACACTGAAAGATCTCTTCAGGATCAAATCCTAGTGAGAGGCAACATCGATGTGATCACGGGGGTTTCTTTTATCTCTGTATTTTCTTCCATATGATCACTGCACCTATTACAGAATACAATAGTACATGTGAATATGCAGTTGTTGGATTAATAGGAGTTTGCTGGTGGTGCTTTGAAGCGAAATGAGCTGTGATGGTGAGAATCAGCATCCTCTAAGTGTTTTAAGCTGTATCTGCATCAGTTCTCAACTAAACTTAGAGTAATAAGTCATGTGTAGACACATGAATAACTTCTAGAGTAGACTGGTATTCCTAGGCATATTAGCATTTTTTTAAAACTAACTTGAGAACTGCATGTTCATGTCCTTCAGACAGGAAAAACCATTACTTTTCTTTCTGGAAGTGCTTCATTGTCAAATACACTTTCAATTCTCTGATCTAAGCATGAAATAAAACTGCTGCAGAAAGAAACTGCTCTACAAACCCAGTTCACGGTTTGTTTCCTACCTAATTTGGCCTCTTCTTGCAGATAACTAGTGATAGGACTGGAGGGAATGGCCTCAAGTTGTGCCAGGGGAGGTTCAGGTGGGAAATGAGGAGACATTTCTCCTCAGAAAGAGCAGTCAGGCACTGGCAGGGGTTGCCCAGGGAGTCACCATCCCTGGGGGTGTTCAAGGGAAGGTTGGATGTGGTGCTTGGGGACATGGGTTAGTGGGTGACACTGGTGGTAGGGGGGTGGTTGGACCAGATGATCTTGGAGGGCTTTTCTGACCCTTAATGATTGTAATTGCGGTTTCAAGAACAGTCAGTGCTTGTGAGTAAGAATGACAGGAAGGCATACAGTGATGTTAAGAACAGGGGCCATAAAAAGCACTTTTAATTCTTAACGTGATATATTTCATACTCAACTCTTCACATTTGATTTGCATAATTTCACACCTTCACGTTATCTTTTTTTTCCCTTCTAACCCCTCCCCACCCTCTTGAATGTTGTGACCACGGTCTGGGCTAAATTAGTTACCCTAATTAGTTAATCAAGCAACTTCTACCACCATGCCCCTATTTTCTCTTCCTACTAACTCGGAGAGCCTCATTCCCTGGCGGTTCGACATTTTAACTAACGTTTTGCCTAACGTATCCTTCACCTTCCTCACACCCGACCCAACGTGGAAGCCCTGCTCGGCGCCGAGCGGCGCTTTGGCACGGGGGGTCACGCCAGCTGCTATTCAGCCCACAGGGCGATGCTTTATACGTTTATTTATGCGTTTATTTATTTATACGTTTATTTATCCGTTTATTTCTCCGGTTACGAAACCCGGGGCCGGCTGAGGGGCGGTCCCGGGGGCTGCCGGGGGGAGGGGGGGGGCACTGAGGGAGCCCCGGGGCCGGGCCGTGACGCAGCCGCTTACATAAACCAAGCCCCGCCCCGTGCGCGCTGAGGCGAGGGGGGGGGAAGCACCGCGCATGCGCAGAGCCCCCGCTCCCCTCCCTCCCGCTCTCCCGCGGCGGCAAACACACTTCAGAAACGTGAGGGCCGGCGGTCACGTGGGGGCGGCGGCAGCCAATGGGCGGCGCGGGGCGGGGCTGGGGCGGCGGCGGCGGCGCACGGGCAGCGGGCGGCGGCTGGCACGAGGAGAGCGCGCGCGCGGCCGCCGCCTCCCGCTCCCGCGTCCCCGCTCCCGCGCGGGAGATGCGGCCCCGCCGGGCGGCCGCCTCCGCTGGGTCCTAGAGCCCGCCTCCCCCGGGACCCTTCCCCGGTGGCCGGGCCATGAGCTCCCGCTGAGCGCCCTCCCGCCCCCCCCGCCCCGCCGCCCCGGGTCGGGATGGGGGTGAACGCCGTGCACTGGTTCCGCAAGGGGCTGCGGCTCCACGATAACCCGGCGCTGCGGGAGTGCGTGCGGGGAGCCGACACGGTGCGCTGCGTCTACATCCTGGACCCCTGGTTCGCCGGCTCGTCCAACGTGGGCATCAACAGGTGGCGGTGAGTGCCCCGGGGAGACCCCCGTGGGGGTGGCTGGGACCCTGTGGGGCAGGCACCGCACCGCCCGGCTGCAGGGTCGGGGTTCCCGTGGCTCTGCTGCCCCTCGGGATCCTTTTTGCCAGGTTTTAGGATCCTCGCTGTCAGGTTTGTGACCCCCCCCCCCCCTCCCAGGGCATCGCTGTACCGGCACGCTGACATCCCCTTGGGTGCTTCTTTGCACCTCCGCTTCTGCTCGCGGTCATGTTTCTGCCCTTCAGAACAGAAATGTTGCAAATTTCAAAAGTTCAGCTTGATGGTTATTCCCTTTTCACCAATAAGACTCATGCAACCAAACAATTTTAAGCTTCCTCCCATACCTAAGGTCCACGATGCACAATTCTTCTGTAGCAACCTTTTATTTTTTAGGTTGTCTTGACAGCAACAATTTGTTTAGAATAACAAGTCCTAAAACTTCAGAGGTCTTTGTGGACAAACTGCTTAAGTTTTAAAAGAATGCAGGCAACTGGAACAAGCCTAAGCGCTAAGGAAATCGCACGTCTTAAGGATATTTCAGAGGTTTCTGGTGCGTTTTGCAGTGGAAACGCTAACTGGTACTAGACCATTTTTGGTTATATGCTCTGAGCGAGTGAACGATGGACAAATGTGAACTTTGATCCTAGCAAGAGGAAGTTCGTGTCTTCAGTGCTACAACCCCGGTTCTTCAGTGACGACTTGGTGTGATCTCCAGCCAGTGCAATCCTTGAGTGCATTTCTGTCAAATGTTTCATGTGCTTTTGCTGGTTTGTTTACTTTAGTGTAGTTCTTGGTGTTCTCGAAGACGGTCCCAGCACTGCGTTATGCATCTGAAGAACACCATCTTCTTTAGCTGTTGGTTAGAAGGGGTGGGGTTTTTTGGTGGAGTTTTTCTGGTTTTGGCTGTTTGGGTTTTTTTTAGAAGAGGGGCATTTCTCTTTCAGCCCTCTTTATTTGTCCCACCTCCCTGCCACCACTTCTCTCCCTGTATAAATAGAGTTCTCCAGAGGAGGGTAAATTACAACTGTGCTATCCAAAGCACTTCAAACAATCTCCAGGGACCTGAATGCCTTAAGGCACTTGCCGCACATGGATTTGAGTAGAAAATATCATTGCTTTCATAGCCCAGTTTTGTGAGATCATCAATTCCTTCATGTTTAAAAAAAAAATCTTAACTTTTATAGAATAACTGGCTCCTGCAGATTTTTGTTAGTGATTTTATTAAATCTTATCCCTTAAATCCCTTATTAAATTATCAGTTAGTAGTTTGGACTGAATCCATTTTAGGTTCCATTTTAGGTTTTAATGAGCTATTTTTAACCAGCGGTAATACACACACGTTCGTAGTATGCAAGCTCAAGGCTTACAGTGCACTTTTTGGGTTGACTGTCTCATTCAGCACTTGTAATTGATGATCAAACGCTATCTTCTTGCTCACTGGATGACTGTGAGCAAGATACTTGCATACATGCCTGTATGGCAGGGTGGTGAATTGGTTAAAAACATGTACTTTTTGAGATTAAGAGCAGAAGCTCCTCAGCATTTGGGACATGAGTCAAATTTGATCTTCTACCGGAGTTTACCGTGATCTTTCCTTAGTTTGAGTGGGTTTACACTGAGAGTTTATGTTCTGCCGAGTTTGTGGTTCCAGTGACCTGGGAAAAACTCATGTCTGTCGGAGTTCAAAGTATGACTAACAGAATGAATGTGAGAAAAGTGGTGTGAGGATACTAAAACCAGGAGGCTTACCTTGCTAAAAGCAGTGCTGTACCTCTGCGGAGCCACCAATTACGATTCATTTTAAAAATGTGCTTTAAGTCTGGCAAATAGCAACCTTTAATACATAGGTGTTTTCTGATGAACTTTTCTCTTTAAACAGTCATGTAACGCTCATGAGCTAATATTTTTGTGTAATTGTGCTATTGAGCAAGTCTAATTACCAAGCAGTCACATGGCCTTACTGACCTCCTTTCTGCTGGCATTCAGCCTACCTGCTCTAAAATCACGAATGCTACGTAACAAATGCGAGGGCCTTCCTCAGCTTGTTTCATCTTTCTGCCTCTGTTCTGTTTCTTATTGTTCCTTCTCTCAAGCCCTTAAGTGAAGGTGACATGCTTTTTCTATAGAATGAGTTTTCCAGTATCATACAGGATTGCGTGAGAGAATTTGCTCAGTAAAAGTTGTGATGGAGAAACATGGAGGGGAGATGCTAAATAGAAAATTACTTGTAATTTGTCATTTTCCATTACATTTTTGGCATCCAGAAGCATCATGCATCTAACTGTGTCTACAGAATAGGCAAAGAATGTAACTTGCATTCTCTAACAAGTAACCATTACATACTTAAGAAAAAATGTCTGTGAGTACATGTGAAGAGTTCTTCGTATTAAGGAGAACGGGATCTCATGTGAACAGTGTCATGTAGGGGAGGGTTTCCTTTATCCCTGGTTTTAGTACAGAATGGCATTTGATCATAATATATAAAA